GCTCAAAAATACAGATATACACTTACCACTCAGGGTAATACCAAAAAGATAGACATATAAAAGGAAAAAAAAGAGAGAGAACATACATAGAGTAATAACGTTGGACCAGTGTGTCAGTGAATTCAATTATATATAAGTAAACTCACATTTGTTAGAGCCTTTTATATGGATGTAGGCTCTAAACACTTAGATATCCGTGCCTTTAAGGTCGGCAACAAAACCGTGTTAGCTTCTGCTTCTTTTTTCTTCTTTCCTTCCCTTCTTTCAATTAGGGTAAAGACTCCAAGAGAGAAGAAAAGTAGACTTCTGGATGCAGATTATTTAACTTTTTACATAAAGCAATATCTCTTTAAGAAAAACTGCTCACCTTTTTCAGAGCTTTTTGAACTGGCTCTAAGTATAAACAGCATATGTGTCTAATATATAGGGTGACACTCCCTTTAGCCGGATTCAGAGATTCAGGATAGAGGTAAGTATATTCAAACACAAAATTTATTATAAAAAAATGATTAAAATTAAAAGTAGTTAAAATATCAAATGATAGTAAGAAAATATGGATAAATACAGTATGTGCCGAAGTCCTTCCTCTCCTGTTCCACCAAGACGCGTTTCGCTGTTCCTCAGCTTTTTCAATCGGTAGTATCTCTGTTGCCGGTCTTTGCTTATATTTCCTGGATGGGAGGGGTTGAATCTCGTCATCCATGTGGCATCCAATCTCGGATGGCGTCGTACGTAAGTATCTTAGAATGAAATGCTTTCACCTATAGTGGCATCATCACGCACTGCGTAACGTGCGTGTGACGTCACTTCCGGATTTCAAGCGTCTCTTAGTAAAAGTCCTTCCCACAATCCCGCATTATTTCTTCTGTTAAAGCCCTCCTTCCGTTGCGATCACATCCACCATATACTCATAATTCCCTCCATCATTGTGGTTAAGGGCAAGGTACTGGAAAAAGGTCTTACGTGCTTGTTATGTTATATTTCATATAAAAACTTAAGATAGTCCTTGAAATCATACTCAAAAAAAGTGTACAAATACAAAAAATCTGATAGAGCTATAATGAAAATTACATTAAATTAAATTAAATTGCAAACAAAATAAAGTGCTAATATATAATAAATATAAGTGGAAATTAAAAAAAAAAAAAAATATATATATATATATATATATATATAAATAAAAATGTAAATAAAAATAAAAATAAATATAAATAAAAATCAAGATAAAGTATAAATTGGAAGATATTCTCCTTTCTTTCCCTTTTCTCTTTTCTTCCTATTACAAAAAATGATATAGCTCAAAGTCAGCATTTAGGCCGAATGGAGTGAGAGTATTGAGATTGAAGATCCATTTCATCTCCGTTTTTCCCAATATTTTGGTTTCATCATCTCCTCTCCAGCTTAAAGTGACCCTTTGAATAGCAAAAAATTCTAGCATACTTGGATCACTATTATGTACTGTTTTAAAATGTAAAGATACATAATGCTTTTCATAGCCTTTCTTGATGTTTCTAACATGTTCATTTATTCTTACGTGGAGAGGACGCTTGGTTCTCCCCACATAATACAATTGACATGGACACTTCAGAGCATAAATTACCTTCTTTGAGAAGCACGTTATCATTTGTTTAATTTTATATTCTTTTTTATTTTGGGGATCTATGAATGAAGTAACATGCCTTTTATTACTATTAGTACTCCTACAGGCCAAACATTGGCCACATCCAAAGAAACCAGACTTTTGGAAAAACGGATTGGATTTTTCCTCTTTTATATAATTATGGGTTAATATTTGTTTTAAATTGGGTGCTCCCCTATATATAATCTGTGGTTTTACAGGGCACTAACCATACCTTCCTGATGGTGGCTCTATGGTACATCCGTACTGCAGGTTTCCATCCATATTCTAGTATAGTTGAGAATTGCTCGCTGTATGAGACAGGTTTTTATTTAGTGATTGTTAATACATAACCAGATATCAAATAATCTAAATTAATTTTTTGTGTAATTTCTGTTACAGCTGAACCAGCTCCTGTCTCAGGAAGATTCAGCGTCTCCTGGATCGCTGTCAGTATCATGGCTGCTGCTATCTGTTCTGTGCTCCTGGGGGTACGTACCTTCTAATACTCAGTTATACAGCCTCCATACAATGCAGGCTTAAGGATCTTCCTGCATGGCCACAGGTGGGCTGCTCAGTATTAGATACCTGTGCTAATACACAGAATCCCTGCCGTTTCTGATCCCTGAGGACTGGGGTTTGGGGTTCACTTTCCATTCCTGCTCCATTGTGTCCTGAGTGGTAAAAGTGGGGTGATTGGGGTCCCATGTAAATGGCAGGATGACCTCTGACCCCTGTGTATTGAGTTAGGGGTGCGGTAGGTCACCCATGGAGAGAGGAGGCGACTCCAGGATATTTATCAAAGTGGGGAATTCTGAGCTTCCAGAATCCAATCTGCTGGGATCAGTTTATCAGGAGATACTTTATTACTAAATACTATGAGTTTCTTTAGTGAAGATTCCAATAAATACCTGTGTAATAATATAAGAGGGAATTATTAAGCCCCATGTACCCTATTGATATTACATTGTGATATATTGATATAATGTGTGTGTTAATATGTATTTTCCATTTCCAGAGATTAATTAAACAGAAGATGCTGAATCCAGATATTAAACCCCAGTGTGAGGATGTTGTTACAGCTCATCGTACAGAGCGCGTGGAATACAGAGTTTATCCAATTAAGATGCACAAAGTTTTCTATATATACGGAGGGGCACATTAGTAGGTTTACAGTTTAAATAATAGGTAAATATAATAGGTATGCAGTTTAAATAATATTTTATTGAATAACAAAACAATTAAGAACAATCTCTTATATGCTCAAATTGTCGGCCCTCACTATTTACACATTGCTATAATCTAGTTTTTACACTCAAACACAGTTTGGTACAAAGTTGTTTGTAACGGCACCCCCAGGCATAAAAGGGTTAAACCGCCGTTTAGAAGATCTTCCCCTTCCAGAGACACGGGCAGCTACTGTAGACACAAATCCACCGAACCGGAGAAGCATATGAATGCTCTCAAGCACATGAATGCTGTAAACAGCTGAATAGGAAAAACCATACGAATAGGTTTACACTCCTAGCAGTCAAACTGGATCAGCATACAATAAATCCCCCCCCCAAGAACGAGACAAGGCTCCGTTTTGAGGGTCAAGCAGGAACAGTCAGAGCTGTGGGTTTATTGTGCTTATGTACACATTCTTACACATTAGTACCACCCACAGGGTTTTGGAACACAACCAATAAACACATACAATACACTAAGACACTCCCACACAAAATCCTCCCCTCTGCCTGTGATACAATTACCTTACACAATGGGTAATGTAATTATAACAAGCAGAAAAATACAATTTTTCCACATTATTCATAACTTGAAAAGTATGCATCACATTCACATAAAACTTACATTTTCAGAATACTCCAAATACAAACACATGTCAAAATCATACAACTTGGTCCAGAGGTTCAAAAGATAGATCGTAGTCCTTTGTGACCAAAGGAAGCATGGCTTTTCTGCCCAAAACCAATTCCACAGAGTCTTCTATCCTGGAGATAATTGTGAAGTAATCCAATTACCTCCAAGGACAGAGGCAAAACTCCATTGAACACATGGCAGCAAAAGACAACAAAACACATAAAAACATATAACTGTGCAGCCATTGCACAAAACAGGTACATTCAACATATCAGACTGGTCCCACCCGTACGGGCAGTCCAGATGTTTAAATAAAACATGTTAAGGTAGAGGTCTGAGTTAACCGTTCAATTGCAAAAGATAGGTCCAACTACCTCTTTACATGAAAGGACAGCCCAAACTGTAGCTCCAGGTTGATTCAGCTGGTCTCCAATTGTTGGGTGAGTTTTTTTTCTGTTGAGTAATAAACACAGTTGTACCTATTAACAGAACCTTAAAGTTTGAAATTGGCTTCATCGATCCAAGTTATTTTTGTAGTCATGCCATCTCCTTGTGTTTCTTCATTCAAAATTGCCTCACAGATTTGTAAACGCTGATCCAGATTATCATCTAAAAATCCATGGATTAATCTTGTCCGATACATTTTCAGCGCTCAGCATTGCATTAGACGACCCAAAGATCTACTGGAAGTGTCCAACTCTTAGCTCTCATTTAGGATTTTTGTTTGGGCTTTGAATAAATGCCAGTGCCACTAACATTTCATAAACAAATTAACAATATACGGTAATAGAATAGAAACTGTATATCTACTTATACACCCCCTGTTATATGAGAAAACTGATCGGTCATGAAAACGGCCTCAATAATAAAATATGCAATAATGTATTGTGGTTGCTTAGAAACCTTCTCCCTGTTTTAGAGCAACACTACTGAAGATACACATTATTATTCTTTGGAATTTTAAATACATCAATAAGTGGAGGTTTAAATTACAAGAGCGCTGTATGTTCTCTCTTTATTTGTGAAGCTAAATAATCCCCCTAGTGGTTCTATCTGGTATTTCTATTGGTTATATTCATTCTGATTATTGGGTGGAATCCCTTTCTTTACATGAGCTGCCAGACTGAATTAAGAGGATAGATATTATTCCAGATGAGAGGGTAGTAGGGAAATTAAACTTAACTTTTATTGTATACTGTTAAAATAAATTGCAACAACTATAATGGCTATATAGAAAAAGCATCTGGCCTGCTTGAGAAGTGCTGGACCTGGAGGTCCGACGGCTTCTCTTAAAGGATCACTATAGGGTCAGGAACACAAACATGTATTCCTGACCCTATAGTGTTAACACCACCATCTAGCCCCCCTGGGCAAAAAATAGAAGTTACAGGGCCATATTCACCAAATGGGTAATAAGATAAATGAGGGTTAAAAAAGAATGAAATAATAAAATAATATAATAAGATAAAAAATAATAAAGTTTATTGAGAAATATATAAACAGTCTCAGCACCAAATATGTGCAGTGTATAAAAAAAATATATATATAAAAAGCCTCAATAGGCTAAAGACCCATAGGTATAGCAGCTCAATATAACATGATACTATGTTAAATAAAAAAGTGCAAGTGCTAGAGTGTTTTATCGGAGAAACCCAGTGGTTTTTTTTAAATGTGGAAGGTGCACTACATGCAAATTCCAGAAAAATAAAGTTACGGAATTTTGCAGTACAGTGACCAAAGAAACCTTTAAAATTAAGCACTTTATTAATGGTCAAAGAAAATTTGTGGTTTATTTGTTACAATGTAAATGTAGTGTTCAATACGTAGGACGTACGATTAGAAAACTACACGTAAGATTACTAGAACATTTTAATGGGATTAAGAATAAGAATGTGAAGCATAGTGTACCTAAACACTGCAATGTTTGTAAGGAGTTTGATTTTAAAGATTTTATCTGTATTGGGATTGATAAAATTATACCACATTGGAGGGGTGGGGATACTGAAAAAATGTTAGGGAGACAGAATGAATATACAAAATGAAATCCTCTGTCCCCTCAGGACTTAATATGGATCTGGATATATTGGCTTTTATGGATTGATTGATTCTGTATTAACCTCTTTTTATCTCTCATTTTATTCATTTTTTATGTATATAATTTTATTATTATTGCATTTTTCTCCTGTGTATTTTAATACATAATTTTGAATATATGTTTTAATATATATCTTTTGAATTTTTAGATGTTTTATGCCTACACTGTCTAATACTATTTGTTTATAGATATGTACCATACTATGGTCTTTGTGATTTACAATTTTACATATTTGCTATTGTGCAATTGTGTGTGTGTGTGTGTGTGTATGTGTGTGTGTGTATGTGTGTGTATATATATTTATTATTTGATCTTATGATATACCCCTATTGTTGATATTTCCACCTCTCAAGTCTGTAGATGTATGGTTAGATTGTTACCATAATGTATATATGATTATGAATTTATGTATTTTATGTATATCTATATTATACATTTGGAATATAAATGGACTTTTTTAATTAAATTTTTTTATACAGGATATATTTTTTATATTTTTCATATACATTTTTTATATTTTTCATATTAATTTGAATATATAACCTTCATTTGTTTTTTATCTACTGTTTAACTTAATATTTCTTCTTCCCATTCATTACTTATTTAATGTACCCCATCAGTCCTATTTATATTTGTTTTAAGGCTGGTAACAATTGATGTTAGGGGATTAGCTGGGAGCTAGGTAGGTCTGTACACACAGATTGCCTTATATGTGAACGCTCTTGTAGGACGTTCAGATTGCTGCTGTGCATATGATCAATAAAGTAATTTTGCGTTCCAGCATGGTCGCGCGTGCGTCATAATGTACATGCGCGATCACGGAAGTGGCTGGACAGACCGGCAGATTTAAAGGACCACTATAGTCCGGCTCTGGGGAGAGGAAAGGGGTAAAAACTTACCTTTTTCCAGCGCTCGGCGGTGAGCTCTCCTCCTCCGATCCTCCTCCTCTCCGCCCATTCGGCTGAATGCGCACGCGCGGCAAGAGCTGCGCGTGCATTCACCCGGTCGCATAGGAAAGCATTTACAATGCTTTCCTATGGATGCTTGCGTCTTCTCACTGTAAAAATCACAGTGAGAAGCACGCAAGCGCCTTTAGTGGCTGTCAATGAGACAGCCGCTAGACGATTTGGGGGAAGGCTTAACCCATTCATAAACATAGCAGTTTCTCTGAAACTGCTATGTTTATAAAAGAATGGGTTAACCCTATCTGGACCTGGCACCCAGACCACTTCATTAAGCTGAAGTGGTCTGGGTGCCTAGAGTGGTCCTTTAAAAAGGAGAGAAGATGGGAAGAAAGAAGAAGCTCCTGAGGAAGTCGCACAGACGAAACGCGTTGAGCATCATGTGGACCCTGTATTTTGGTATCAGCAGTTTCTTTTTTACATGTACTTTGGTTCTATAGATTGTTTGTGCAGTATTTGATTTTGCTGAGTATTGTTATCTATATTAGTGATGGGTTTTATGTCCTTTCACTTTGCTTGATTTTTGCACTCTAGCACTTGCACTTTTTTATTTAACATAGTATCATGTTATATTGAGCTGCTATATCTATGGGTCTTTAGCCTATTGAGGCTTTTATATATATATATTTTTTATACATTGCACATATTTGGTGCTGAGACTGTTTATATATTTCTCAATAAACTTTGTTATTTTTATCTTATTATATTATTTTATTATTTCATTCTTTTTTAAGCCTCATTTATCTTATTGCCCATTTGGTGAATGTGGCCCTGTAACTTCTATTTTTGGTATTTTGTTATTAAGGTTGGACTGACCTTTATACAGAGGCTGGCCTGCACTTGGGTCTCATTACCTTTTACCCATCTTTATTAGTTCCCCTGGGCCCCTCATGCCTCCATAAATACAGCAAACTCTTATTGTATTCAAAAAAAGAGGGGGTCAAGGGCTGCGCTTAGGTAAAACAGATATGTTGAAATATATAAGATCGTGTATTTTTAAAATAAACAGCGATAATAAAATCAAATAAAGTTCATCCGGATTTCCTTAAAAATATAGAATAAAAACAGTCTCACTGATATGTAGTACCACGATATTAATCCTCAAGTATGGCTCCGTCCGGGTGGTAGGTAGTCCATATATGTGAAGATAAAAAACAAGAAAGAAAGCTGCCTATGGTGAAATATTGTTGGTCCTGATGTGGTATATAATCAAAGGAAATATATTTCACTCACATTTGGTGGAGCTTATTGCCAGCTCTGGGAGAAGAGGCACTTAGTGGTTTGATCCCCACTAACGGATATACTTAGATGGTCCGTCTGTCCGGCTTGGGATTCCTGTGGTGTCGGCTAGGATCTACTTCACATATACGTTGTTTTCTTGATGCTTGGAAGATAGGTCCGCCTTTCCAGTATCGGGTGGTAGGTGTCCACGGAGTATATATGAGACAGCAAAATAGTGCTCTCAGTATGAACAACAAAGTAATATCTATAAGTGAATTATACTTACAAGAATAGAGCAGATGGATACTGCTCTATTGCCACAGCGCTGGTGGAATTATCCCCACCTAAGGATTTCTTTGGACGGAATATACTTCCAAGTAAAAAATTGAATAAAAATAATAAAAAATAATAAAAAAGGGTGGATAAAACTATAGTATTAAATACAAAAAATATATATGAAAAAATATATATATATATAAAATGCCAGGGGTAAAAAGAAAGTGTATAAAATACAATAAAAATAAGTATACAATTGGTCCTAGTTTAAAAGGTAACCAAAAATAACTTTTATTGATTAAAATACACTTATTAAAACCATTTAATGTCATTTTGAAATGTACAGAAAGTTTTGTTTTAATACTTGTTTGTGATTGGTGCATAAAAGAATTTGGCGCCAAATTCAACCTCTGTAAAACTTATATATTCAGTTCCTTGCCAGGTGTACTGTTCTTTTACCATTTTGAGAAAACCCCAAAGGTGAAACGCGTAAATGGTTTTAATAAGTGTATTTTAATCAATAAAAGTTATTTTTGGTTACCTTTTAAACTAGGACCAATTGTATACTTATTTTTATTGTATTTTATACACTTTCTTTTTACCCCTGGCATTTTATATATATATATATTTTTTCATATATATTTTTTGTATTTAATACTATAGTTTTATCCACCCTTTTTTATTATTTTTTATTATTTTTATTATTTCAATTTTTTACTTGGAAGTATATTCCGTCCAAAGAAATCCTTAGGTGGGGATAATTCCACCAGCGCTGTGGCAATAGAGCAGTATCCATCTGCTCTATTCTTGTAAGTATAATTCACTTATAGATATTACTTTGTTGTTCATACTGAGAGCACTATTTTGCTGTCTCATATATACTCCGTGGACACCTACCACCCGATACTGGAAAGGCGGACCTATCTTCCAAGCATCAAGAAAACAACGTATATGTGAAGTAGATCCTAGCCGACACCACAGGAATCCCAAGCCGGACAGACAGACTATCTAAGTATATCCGTTAGTGGGGATCAAACCACTAAGTGCCTCTTCTCCCAGTGCTGGCAATAAGCTCCACCAAATGTGAGTGAAATATATTTCCTTTGATTATATACCACATCAGGACCAACAATATTTCACCATAGGCAGCTTTCTTTCTTGTTTTTTATCTTCACATATATGGACTACCTACCACCCGGACGGAGCCATACTTGAGGATTAATATCGTGGTACTACATATCAGTGAGACTGTTTTTATTCTATATTTTTAAGGAAATCCGGATGAACTTTATTTGATTTTATTATCGCTGTTTATTTTAAAAATACACGATCTTATGTTGAAATATATATCTGTTTTACCTAAGCGCAGCCCTTGACCCCCTCTTTTTTCGCATTTCCTACATAAGGGTTCCCTGAGGGATCTCCCTTTTTGGGTTGCTGCTCAATTGAACTAGCGCAGACTCTTCCTCTGTTTTGTTTCACCTCTTATTGTATTCAAGCCTGAAGCTGTAGATCTGCATACTGTTTGTCTCAGGAAAAAAAACAAGCTGCCTGCTGACATCATCAGAAGTGGTAACCTGATCCAATCACAATGCTTCCCCATAGGATTGGCTGAGACTGACAAAGAGGCAGATTAGGGGCAGAGCCAGCACAATTCAAACACAGCCCTGGCCAATCAGTATCTCCTCATAGAGATGAATTGAATCAATGTATCTCTATGAGGAAAGTTCAGTGTCTGCATGCAGAGGGAGGAGATACTGAATGTTTGGATGCATTTTAGGCAGCCATGACCCAGGAAGGATCTCTAGCAGCCATCGGAGAAGTGGCCAGTGAAGTTATCACTAGGCTGTAATGTAAACACTGCATTTTCTCTGAATTAGATTAGGGAGGCTGTGTATTAGTTTAAGGTAGGGTGTGTATTAGATTGGGGAGCGTTGTATAAGTTGGGGGGGCAGTGTATTAGATGGGAGGACAGTGCATCAGTGGGGGGATAGAGCAGTGTATTGAATTTGGGGGCAGTGTATTAGAGTGGGTCTGCATGGAGATGCTGATTGGCCACGCAGCGTTTTGACACACATGCACAATAGCTCAATGCTTTCCTATGGAAGAACACACTCTTAGAACGTCAACATCAACAAGATAACGTCATTTGTTTTTTTACAGCTGTGCAACAGCATACATTCCCCATTTCAGTCCCATTACTAAGCTTTTCTTAATATATCAAGGTAGTTGGACTGAAACATTGGTTATATGCAAATGCCTAAATGTCTCCTAAAAATAAATTTACTCTTTTGTTCACTTTGAAGCCCTACGAGCGTGAGGACGTCCAGTGTCAGTTAGGCACTTTATTTATACGGTACTTTTCTAAATAAACCAACGCTTCTATGAACACTGAAGTTTTCATTTTTTGCGGCCCACATAAACTTAAGCCTTGTTTCTTTGGCCCGCGTTAGGCTTTGAGTTTGACGTGCTTGCAGTAGGCAGTTATATGCAGCACACTGCGAGTTATTTAAAGGAGTACAGATAACAGATACAATGTAACACTGTGTGGGTCCAGCGATTACATCAAATTACTATCCAATAGATCGCTATAGTAAAGAAATCCTTAAAGCTATGTAGTGAATGTAGACTAGCAGATTGTTACAAAGCCTATCATGGCTGTGTCAGCGCTGAAGTGCCTTGAAGGTAAAATCCTAAACCAGAATACAATCCGCGTCATGAAAGAAAAAGGGGGCAAGTCACCGAAGTACTGGCTCGAAGGTAAATCTAAACGTGAATTATTTTAAAAAGCTGCAGATAACAAAAAGACTAGATGGCTAGAAAGCCCCTATGTCAGGTAAAATACCTAGGCAACCATGAAGCTAGTCTGTGCCTTGGAGGGCACCTGAACTGTCATAACAAAAGGAGTCCAGCTAGCGATCTAACAAAATCTGATTGTACCAAAAACAACTTGTAAAATAATTCACAAACCTGCATCCACTGAAAGACATATCAGATCACGATCTGGGTCAGTATAGTCTGAACAAGTTGAGATCAGTTTAGAGCCTCGACAAATATTTCCGTCATGTGTCCTTAACGTGTTAAGGAACTGAGGACGTTAGACTTACTAAGAAGAGACTACCTCCTTATTATCGCCATCTAGTGGCAAAACAAAAATATTACAAAGTTTCTTGTGGACGTGAAATATTCTGAAATAAGTATAATGGGAGTAAAACAGTCTTGTGATTCCCAGAAATAACCCAACACCACTCCCTGGGTAATACAATATCTGTAGAGAGAAAACAATGTTAAAAACAAAATAATATATTAAAAACAATACTTACAACCATATCCAGACACCCTAAAAGCTTGGTCACACCTCAACACAATAGTTTCATCTTTTAAAGGGAAACCTGCTTCCCCCTCAGAGCTTGCAATAGTCACGACACAAGGAGTTACTACCTTCTACTTACCCCCGTGTTATTCCCACTGTCCCTCTTCCCATGTGTTTTCTCACCAATATATAATTTAGGCACCGATGCCCAGCACTATGTAAACTCTACTTTGTTATATCTACTTTGTTATATCAGAACGTGTGCGTCACACTGTTTCATGTTGACAAATACTTTGTTAATAGTTTCACATCATGATGTATACTGTTACAACAACCCTCTCCTGATGTTTCAGACATGTTATTCACCCCATGACTCTCGTCTTTATTCTGTAATTTCTCTACCTGTAAAACTAACCATTGAAAAAATATAAATAAAGAATTTATTTAAAAAAATAATTAAAAAACCAATGCTTACAGAGTTATTTACTAAAGTGATGATTGTCGGTAAGCCATGGTAAATACAAAGTAACTGAGCTGGAAAAATTCTCCAGCTATGCTTTCAGTTCCATTATTCTGGCCTTACATTTAAAATTCTCTTTGAATTCACCTTTAATTCTTGACAATCCCCCATGAGTAGAAAACCCTGTCAGACAGATAACCAAATATTTAACCAGGAACGGTACATTCAAATTACTCTGGTTTCCTGGTACGTCCTAGGGATGTTACTATTACCCAATTTAATGGAACTCACAAGCAACACCCTGTGATAAAATACTGTGCAAGAGGGACAGAAGAAATACATTCTCGTGGTTATCCATGCGTTATCCATGCGGTATGCACAGAGAGTGATCCTATGGCAGCCACAGGGAAGCTCACAGCACACCATGGGTGGGGGCCAGAGGGAGGACAATAGGTCCCCCCTTTATTATTTAGGGCCCCCACCTGCCGCTCATGGGTGGGGGCCAAGGGTCACCCTATGTCCCACCTTTAGTTGAATAGCCCCCACTCCCGTGGCACAGGTGGGGATTTGGGGGACACTATGTCCCCCCCCCCGCTAGTTAAGAGGGGCCATAAATTGGCTGCTCACTGTTTACTAGACATGCCCCTACTCGCGGTATAGAGAGTAGGGGCATAATTTACTAATACTAAGTAATCTTTACTTAGTATGTATTAGTAAAGTTGGCTAATAGACCAATCTTGGTCTTTCAGTCTTTTGGTAGATAGCTCCCTAATACAGTGGGAATTAGGGAGCTATCTACTAAGCGGCTGCAAGATGCACCCGCGGCACGAATAGGATCAGAGTTTCATTAATTCAAATGAAATTCCAATCCAAACAAAGTCCTGATTTGCGTCCTACCACGAATGGAGAAACTGCTCTCATTCTGTTAAGACGAAATTCGGTAGTTTCTCCGGCGTTCTGTCAAAATGACAGGACGTTTGGGAATACTGACATGAAGAATTGCAAGATCATGGATCAAAGGTGAGAATTGTGGGAAAATTGCTCTGACCACCGGAAATGAAGCACACTTTGTTCCTCCGCTGGTCAGAGATGGTCAGGCATAGGAAACCTCCATAAAACAAATAGTCTCTACTTTGTCTTATGTTTTAAAGAAAACTAGAGCAGACAGGAAGAAATGAAGAACAGATCCTGAGAGAGGGAGAGGGAACGTATGTTCGGCATGATAGTGCCGCTTCAACACATAATTTTAGTCCGCAACGAAAAAAGTTAAAGGGACACTCCAGGCACCCAGACCACTTCTGCCCATTGGAGTGGTCTGGGTGCCAACTCCCACTACCCTTAACCCTGCAACTGCAATTATTGCAGTTTTTTTTTTTATAAACTGCAATAATTACCTTGCAGGGTTAAGTCCTCCCCTAGTGGCGCATGCGCATTAGGTCTCATCCTGCCAGCAGGCCGGATCAGTCTCCTCTGCCGGGTGACGTAATGAAGGGGAGGAGCGGTGGCGGAGGAAGAAGCTGGGATGTGGGACATGTCGTTGCCTCTGGTAAGTGACTGAAAAGGTTTTCACCCCTTCAGCAACCGGGGATGGGAGGTTTGGGGGAGAGGGAACCTGCAGTGCCTTTAAAGAACCAATGATATTCGTCTTCATAGGGAAGGACTTCTTATACATTATCGCCATCTAGTGGCAAAACAAGAATATTGCAAAGTTTCTTGTAGACATCCAAGTGAAATGCTTTAAAATAAGAATAATTGGAATAAAACAGTGTTGTACTTCCCAAAATTAACCCAAATGCCAATCTTTGGGTAATACAATATCTGTAGAGAGAAAGCAATGTTAAAAAGAGGAATAAAAAACTACATTCAGTAATTCAAAGTAAATTTCTAAATAATTCCAAATCAGCAATAACTGCAAACATAGCTGACTTGGACAATGCGTCCAGTAATATGGCCTAAAATTTACATTTCACACTCGTCGACTGCAGACATGGTGTCCCGAACAGAAGCCATTCAGCAGCGTATTGTGACTGTAGAATGCTTCATTCATAATTCAAGCCACAATTGTGAATGCATTATTTTTATATATGGTTTTTATCTGAATAAATGTTTTTTTTCATGATCACAGATTCCTCAGTGCACTGTTTGTGTTTTACATATTGGAGACTGGTTTCCTATATTTTGTGCTTTCTGCAGAATCTTAACAGAATTGACTAGTTACGTCTTTGTGCACCAACTGTAAACTGATTATTATTATTAATGTTATAAATATTATCAGTACGTCCAACTATGGTATAAAACTTTTACTCTACGACACTGTGATACCCGACTCCACAGAACGGCTGCCATGGGGGGAGGGAAATAAACAGATCACTTTTATTGGAACATTTTAATCTGGTCTCAGCTTTTTCTCCACCTCATAACAAACCTGTCTATCAAAATTCCCACTACCGCATATGAGTAATGATTCAAAAACTCATTACAATGTATGTATGTTGCTAAATGTGGGAAATTAATACATTAGAAAAAGGTTTAAATCACCATGAAGGAAGAACCCAAAAAGTGTGAGGTAAGTAACATTTTATGAAGTAAAGATGTCTAATCACAAAAATGAGTTTAAAAAAGAAAAAGAGAGAGGGAGGGAAAAAATATAACACACATAAACCATGTAAACTCAGTCAGGTTTGGTACCAAAATCTAAAGGAGATGTAATACTACAAATCTCCCACTAGATGGCGGCATGACATTAATACATACAGAATAGAAGGTGATTCAAAGAACAAGAGCGTATGTATGATTACCAATCTACCACTAGATGGCGGTATTTTGGCTGGAAATGAAAGGACCACTATAGCCACCCAGACCACTTCAGCTCAATGAAGTGGTCTGGGTGCCAGGTCCCCCTAGTTTTAACTCTGCAGCTGAATACATAGCAGGATAAAAAAAACTGCTATGTTTACACGCCTCTAGTGTCTGTCTCCCTGACAGCTACTAGAGGCCGCTTCCGCAATTCACACTGAGTAAATCGCACATATTTGACACGGACACCTGGGATTGGGAGTGCCTGGGAGGGGACACTGAGTGGCGGCAATAGGGGACAAAGGGACTGGGGTTCCGGATCCGTTATACGACCCCTGGGAGGGGTAGGGCCATGGGCGGGGACACTGAGTGGCGGGAACAGGGGACAAAGGGACTGGGCTTCTGGATCCGTTATAAGAACCCTGGGAGGTGGAGGTCCCTGGGAGGGGACAAAGTTAAATGTTAAGCATATTTATCCACATATTTTTATCACCCTAGAAAACGTACACTGTAGCGGACCACCTGGTAACCCGACTGGTCACCTCCGTTAATTCCCTTCCTTCAGCCAAACAGGAACCATGTTTGAGACCCATTTCACGCAGTAACTGAGACACAGTTCTGGAGGTACAACAACACTTTATTTGCCACACTTGGCTTGCGTAGTATTGCGGAAACGGAACTCCAGTCCCTTTGTCCCCTATTCCCGCCACCCAAATGTAGGGTCTCCCACTTCCGGTGACATGGAGTCTTCTTCCCAGGACCATCTGTACATTACAGGAAAGCTTCCTCCTTGACTCAGAGGTACAGAGAGCCCGCCAAACAAGCCATTGTCCCCAAAGGAAGAATGCACCAATCCCAAGGACCCCCTTAACGGTACCTGCCTTGAACAGCCTCCATTCGTGGGGTCCCTGTGTGAAACCAGGCAAGGGAAGGGTCTCCTTTCGGGATATGAATGCTTCCCCAGGTGGTGTTCGCTTGTACTAACTTCGGCCACCCGGGGGAGCACTCAATTACTTCCCTTGTGGTTTCACACTTACGTTGCGAATTGTTACATTCTAATTGATTGGCGTGAACATTTCAATGGGTACCGGGGATCATCATACAGCCGGCCATTAGCAGTAGGAATAAATACACATTAAATATCAAAATCTTTATTATTACACTGAAAGGAAATTATAACATTTACACTGTGTACATTCCTCATATAATAAAGTAACAATAAATCTCAGCTATTAAACCAGGCAGTATTCACTTATCTTACAGGATTACTCCAATCACCACTTCTATTTTTTAAAGTGGTTATGGTGGTAGGTATCTGGCTGTGCAGTGTTTCAGTTTGAAACCCTGAACACCCAGAGATATCTGCACTTTGTGCTGGGGGCTAGTTTCACCCTATTCCTGGAATGTCGAATGTCAATTCTGGGCATATTTTACTTCTGTCGTCAGTGCGCACTGCGTGCAGGTAATAGACGTAATCTAATTCTCCATCTCCCCTTCACATACATTACAGACAGAATCTCCTCGTGAGAATATTTTATAACTAAATATTCAGTCACGCTGTGCCCAGTATAGGTAAAGGGTGTATAATGTATTTATTTGTTATTTTCCTCCCCCATTTCCTTGTTTTCCCAGAAGGGCATTGCCCCATTGTCCCTGAGACACTTCCAGGTTAGTTTAAACTGGCTGTTCTGACACCCCTTACATCTCCCATGTGGTCCTCAGCCCTTGTTATTGTGCGTCCCCATCCTGCCTTGAATTCACACTAATGTAGAACAGAATGGAAGTAAATTAGGTTATTGTGCGATTGGGAAACAGTTATTCTACAACACTTCTTGGTGTCTGTCACATAATTAAATAATGGTGACTCAAGCGAATTATGTTTCTAACCACCAAGACTCTGGGGGGGGACTTACATTGTTTTAATCGATGACCTCCTGGGGGAATGTTGTGTACAATAAAGTCAGTTCTACTTCACCCTTAACTAAGTCTCGGCTAGTGATTGGGTGAGACTGCTACACAGCTATACTGAATATTGGAGCTATGTCGCCGTATACCGATCCAGGATGGAAAAGATCTGGAAAGACTTCAGTCAGGCTGCCGCGACTGGGGGCAATAGCGTTCCAGGTTGGTCCCATGTGACTGCTCGGAAGCAAACTTGGCAGAGGTAGCAGCCAGGGTACAAGGAGCTCCGTCACATTTATAACTAAAAATCTGAATGCAGGCTGTCTGCGCCAATATTTTATTTATATTCAATTTGTTTTGCATATTACAGCTAAAAATAAATTAAAATCTTTCGGCGATATCTGGTGGTCAAACTCGGTATTACATTTTTAATTTGTGTTAAGCCTCAAAATAGCCAATTTATTTTACTTATTAATAGCAATATGTCTACATGGTTTATTCTTTATATATGGGATCGGACACATATTTGGAGGTAGTAGAGCCATATAGACATGTTTTAATGCATGATAACAATATTCATGGACAGATTCAAAGCCATGTGTCCAGTCCACCTACCTGAAAAGTTACCAGCCACCACTGAGGGTGCTCTCTCCGTGCAGCTCCTCTCCCCTTCACATACATCAGTGAAATGTATTACTTTATATTTTACTGTTGATGCCTTTTCGATGATAAATCTTTATATTTTCTCACATTTATACAATGCTTCGTGCGGCTTAATAGGGTAAACTCTGCATTCCACGCGCTCCGTACGAGGAGCTGTAACAATATCCTCACGCTGGGGTTTAATATCTGGATTCAGCATCTTCCGTTTAATAAATACCTGGAAATGGAAAATCTATATTGAACACACATTATATCCATATATCACAATGTAATATCAATAGGGAACATGGGGCTTAATCATTCCCTCTCATATTATAAAGATCTTATTACACAGTTATTTATTGGAATCTTCACTAAATGAACTCATTGTATTTAGTAATAAAGTATCTCCTGATAAACTGATCCCAGCAGATTGGATTCTAGAAGCTCAGAATTCCCCACTTTAACAAATATTGACTCACCACCTCATTCATCGAATGGCATCCTAACACGAATGGATAAACTTTCGACATTCCGTGAGTTCACCGGCGCACTGTCTAAATGACAGGACGTTTCGAACGGTGAATAAAGCAACAAGACATCACGGAGGAAGAGTGCGAATTGTGGGAAAATGTATTTGACCACAGGAAATGGAGCGGAGTTAAACTCCTCCTTTGGTCTAAAAAGGTAAAGCGTGTGAAGAATACATACAAAGTAATCCCTACTTTATATTCTGTTTTAAAGAAAACTAGATCAGATAGGAAGAAAAGAAGAACAGATTCTGAGAGAGGAAGAGAAGAGGAATTCATTAAAGAAAGGTAAGTGCGGCATGACAGAGCCGCTTTAAACCTGCATTGTATGGAGGCTGAATAACTGAGTATTAGAAGGTACATACCCCCAGGAGCACAGCACAGATAGCAGTAGCCATGATACTGACAGCGATCCGGGAGACTCTGAATCTTCCTGAGACAGGAGCTGGTTCAGCTGTAACAGACATATTACACAATAAATCCATTTAGATTATTTAATATCTGGTTATTTACTAACAATCACTAAATAGGAACCTGTCTCATACAGCGAGCAATTCTCAGCACTAATCTATATTAGAACATGGATGGAAACCTGCAGTAAGGATGTACCATAGCGCCACCATCAGGAAGGTATGGTTAGTGCTCTGTATGTTTCCAGCCTCCACTAATGTCCACATACATGGAACAGGTTAAACAGGTAACATATCAAACCCCACATCACACACACGTGTTCCCCAGAGCAGAGAAGCCATGTAACATGCATCATTCCATGGATGTGTATAAAGCACAGACTGGGGTTCCGTGTAAGAAGAAAAGAATAGAGTGGAAGGAAAGAGATTTCACACACACGGCTCCGTTAGTTCCACGTAGACGCTCACATGTTCTGGGAATGTCAGCCCAGCTGGCGAGGAGAGAAGAGGAAATGAACAGGTGAACAAGGAGATCTCATAGAAAGGATTAGAGCCACGGGTTCAAGATTCAACCACAAACTGCTCGTCATAGGGTTCTCATCCCAGGGACTTTGACCCATAGAGATTACGGAGTTAATTTATCCACATAGGGCAATTTCTGTACATTAGAATGGTGTATTGAACACAGATATGCTACAGCCAAGACTAATTCTAGTAATAATAGAGGCAGAACATGTAAATAATACCCAGCTGGAGGCAGTTTGGCACTGGACAGATCATGGAGAATGTCTAGTGATATTTACTAAGCTGTATGAAGCTTCACTTTATGACTTTGATGTTACTCAGTAAAGGGGAGGGAAGATATTTTAAGACTCCCAGATCCCACAACAGCCCCATTACCTGTGAGTGTGAGCTGAGCGTGGTTCTCACTCACTGAGTTAGTAACAGTCACTTTGTATGTCCCATAGTCCGTGCTTCTTACAGTGAGGGTGTCATTAAATTCACTCAGTTGGTGGCCCTCAGGCAGGTCTCCTCCATCTCGGGGCCAGGTGACTGTCTGATCCATCAACCCAGTAAACTGAACTCACAGAGATGTGGTCAGCCCCGAATTACTGAGACTGGAGCTAAGGCTGATGATGGAGACTTTATCTGGGAGATAAGAGGTGGCGATCAGAGGCAGTGACAGTGCATGTCTGCTGGGTGGGATTTACTAAATCCAGTAACATGGGCGTCCGCATGGGGGGGCAAGAGGGGGCACTTGCCCCCCCCCCCCCCTTGATTGTGCTGCTATTTTTGGTGTGAATGGAGAAAGGCAGGAAGCTACAGCTTATCCCTGCCTCTCGCTCATGACTGAAACTGCAGGGGAGCAACACAGAGGCAGCCTACAGAGCAGGTAAGTGAGGGATGGGGGGCAGCCTACAGAGCAGGTAAGTGAGGGATGGGGGGCACTATTACCCCCTCACTACACTCAGCATCACCCCCCCTCACTATTACCCCCTCACCACCCTCAGCATCACCCCCCCTCACTATCACCACCCTCTGCATCACCCTCACCCCCTCAGCATTACCCCCTTCCTCAGCATCACCCCCTCACTACCACCCCCTGACCACCCTCAGCATTACCACCCTCAGCATCACCCCCTCCTTCAGCAGCATTACCCCCTCTCCCTCTCCCACTCACCATCACCTGCCTCTCCCTCTCACCATCACCCACCTGTCCCACTCACCATCACCTACTTCTCCCTCTCACCATCACCCGCCTGTCCTACTCACTATCACCCGCCTGTCCCTCTCACCATCACCCGTCTGTCCCTCTCACCATCACCCACCTGTCCCACTCACCATCACCCGCCTCTCCCTCTCACCATCACCCGCCTCTCCCTCTCACCATCACCCGCCTGTCCCTCTCACCATCACCTGCCTGTCCCTCTTACCATCACCCGCCTCTCCCTCTCACCATCACCCGCCTCTTTAAGCAGCTACCCCATACACATAGGGTACCAGACAAAAACGCAAACATGCTCACAGAGACATACATTCACACACACACACACACACACACACACACAAGGATACTCTCTGTCAGACACACTCTCAGGCACACACACAGGTAAACTGTGCATCAATGTGTATATGTGACAGTGTGCATGTATTGCAACTCTATTTTTTTCAAGCAAATTTGGTTAATATAATTATCACAGGCAGAGAAATACAGTATTATAAAACATATCACAGGGAGCTCAAAGCATGCAATAACCCCATAAAAATATCCTCGGAACCGGGGGATCTGGGTGAACCACATATCCAAAATTCACCCAGATCCGTTCAGTAGTTTGGAAGATACAGTTTAATGCAGATTCCGCAGAACATATACAGGCTATATGAAAAATAATTACTGTATAATGTGTCCCCTGTTGTATAGTATAAAACTACTGCACAATGTCTTTGTGCACCAAATACCGGCGAGATGGCACTCTAATAATGTAATAAGTAACCCTATCAGCATCCGGCTGAGTTTAGGCAAGGGCTGCACCCTCTAAATAATGTAATTAGTATCCATATCAGCATCAGACTGAGTTAATGAGAGGGCCGCACCCTCTAACAAAGAAATTAGTATCTGTGTTGCAATCGCCTGTAACCCAATAAAACTAAACATGGCTGCCAGGATCTCGCGCAAGTGCACAGGAGCCAAGATGGTTGCCAGTTACCTGAGGAGGCGCTGAAGACCTTCTCCGCGGTCTTTGAGAGTCCGGGGAGTCAGAGGTGGCCAGTAGGAGAGGCCTTACAATGCAGGTGAATAGGACAAGTGTCACAAACAGAATGGCCAGGGCAGCACCCCATATATTAGGGCACTGGCAAGAAAGTGTATATAAATCTATGTATATAAATAGCCAGGCTAGGGTCGTCAAGTGGCAATGGCACAGTTAGAGCAGGCCAATCCCGGGGTACAGCCAGAGCAGGCCAATCATGGGGCACAGCCAGAGCAGGCCAATTATAGGGCACAGTCAAAGCAGGCCACGATGGTAATAGCTGCGGGAGCAACACGTGGGGCCGCCAATGCAAAGAGACAGGATAGTAGGAATAGTGCTAGATAAGTGATGGAAGAAAAAGGAGGGGAAAATAGCTAACAGAAAAAACTTAATCCCCAAGATGAGACACTAAACAACAGTCTCAATAAAATATAGATGTAAATAAATCTTTGAAAAACAAAAGCAACAATCCAATACCGGACAATAAGAAAAAGTCACTAACATAAGGGATAAATATAAATAAAAATTCAAATATATAGAAAACGGACAACTAAATTAAAATTAATCAAAATGATTACAATTAAAATTAAAAAGGGGCAGCATCAGAACACCAGCAAGCGACTGGATTGTGTTATTAACTCACAATAAACAAAAGGTGTGTGCGCTCCCCCCCCCAAAAAATAATTATCACAAACTAAAAAATTAAGTATATAAATATAAATCTTTTAATAAATAAAATACAATAATTCAGAGGCTGTTTCACAATCTCGAACAATACAGGCTCTGATTCAGAGGTCTCCACGTTGACCGGTGAAACAGTGCCCAAAATGGCCCTATAATTACTCTCCTAAAATGGGGAATAACCCACGAATAATTATAGAAAGAACAGAAATGGGGACTAGAAAAGTCCTAGACAGGAGAGTAATGTAAGGGAAGGGGGTCCCTACTAGTGATGTCCCGAACGGTTCGCTGGCGAATAGTTCCTGGCGAACATAGCGTGTTCACGTTCGCCACGGACGGCGAACATATGCGATGTTCAGTCCGCCCCCTATTAATTTACTAATACTAAGTAAAAATTACTTAGTATTAGTTAATTGGGGGCCCTAAATACTAATAGGGGGCCCTAAATACTAATAGGGGGGGACCTATTGTCCTCCCCCCGGCCCCCACCCCTGAGCGGTGGGTGGGGGCCCTAAAAATAACAATAAGGGGGGGACCTATTGTCCCCCCCCGGCCCCCACCCCTGAGCTGTGGGTGGGGGCCCTAAAATTAACAATAAGGGGGGGACCTACTGTCCCCCCCGGCCCCCACCCCTGAGCGGTGGGTGGGGGCCCTAAAATTAACAATAAGGGGAGGACCTACTGTCCCCCCCCGGCCCCCACCCCTGAGCGGTGGGTGGGAGCCCTAAAATTAACAATAAGGGGGGCACCTATTGTCCCCCCCGGCCCCCACTCCTGAGCGGTGGGTGGGGGCCCTAAAATTAATAATAAGGGGGGGACCTATTGTCCCCCCGGCCCCCACCCCTGAGCGGTGGGTGGGGGCCCTAAAATTAACAATAAGGGGGGGACCTAACTGGAACCTCCCAAATAGCTGCTAGCAGACGAACAGGAAAAGCAGACAATCGGCTTACACTCCTGGCAATCAGTCTCTAACAGCATACAGTGAATCCCCCCAAGAACGAGACAAGGCTCCGAGTTGAGAGTCAAGCAGTGGTCTGAGGTGCTGGCACACCCAGCCTGGTTTTTATTACAGTCTTTTCAAATACAGGACCGCCCACAGGGAGGTATAAAACAACCAATCACATATCAGTTACATCCCACATATTCCCTCCCCTTATCCTGAGAGGAAACTCAATTACACATACAGTTAAAACATACTTTCTACCCAACTTTCATAACTCTAAAACCATACATCACATTCACATAAAATGACATATTCACAATCAATCCATTCAGGGAACAACATATTAAAAAATGGCATGAATCAGACCAGGGGTTCAAAAGTTAGTAAAAGTATCTTTTGGGCCCTGGCTGGCACATGACTATCTGGCTCAAACAGGTTTTACAGAGCCCTCTATCCTGGAGACAATGGGGAAAGTAATCCAATTATCCAGGGATAGAGGCAGACTCCATTGAGCACATGGTTGCAAAAAGACATAAAACACTTTAAAATACATAAAGTCACCTTTTACACATAACACACAGACATTTCACATATCCCCAGATAGCTGGGATCTGAGCGCACAAAACTACCGAATAGCGCTCAGATCCTATTCACACAGTTCAATTGCCATGGAGC